TATGAAGGCCTTATATTCAGCTAAATCCAGTTACCTCATCAAAAACATACTCGTACATATGTAATTGTGTTCTGTTTAATCTACACATGTTGGTGTAATCCTGCATTATTAGGCTGTCTGCATACCCAAAGCTAAAAATGCTCTTTTCCGCTTTGTGATGTCATGAAGTGGTAGTTTTCAAGTTAACAGCAACATTTTACCTTTTGCCTAGTTCAACAGAGATTGGCAGTTCCAGGGCTGAAATTCTAGTGAAAGTGTATGAAGTTTGACAACACAGTAGATCACTTCCTATATTACTACATGACATCACAAGGTGGAGTAGAGAAAGAGAGATGTACAATTTGTGTGTTAAACATGTGTAAATGAAACAAAACACAACCCCAAATATGTTTTTAATGAAGAAACAACATTATAGCACAAAACAGGTAAAAGTGTAATATAGTCCCTTTAAAATAAGATTTTTTTTAGAGCATTTTAGAATTTTTAACACAAAATGACAAAAGTGTAACATATCATTAAAAGGTAAAATTGTGAAACTGTACGGCAATATTTCAGACTAACCCAGGGTTAATAAAGAGCATTACAGATATCATTAACTCCTTGTATGGATCAAAAACACTTCCATATGTCAATTTACACAAAAGCCAACATTTTAATTTCTAATTTGATTACGAAATAGTCTTCTACTTGATAACACCTACGTTATTTTTTACACATTGGGTTTCTAAGTGAAAAAGAGACCCTTAAACGTTTTCTTGATTCTCGATGCTGTAGCATTCATAAGTGGTAGTAATAGCGAAATGGATAATATAGCAATAATATAGCACATTGCCACCATCAGAGCGGTGAAGTTAGTCTATCCTTCCTAAGAGCAATTTACAGCATCTGAGTGCATATTCACAGTTAAAATAGCTCTGTCTAATATCTAGGTCACACAGTCACCACTTTCAACGATGCACTGTGGAATATGAGGCTATTTAGTCAATACATCTGACAATACTCCATCTACATTAGTCACTACTTAATGCATGAACCTCTGGCTTTTGTTGCCGGGGGGACAAGAAGACCTCTACATCCACTAACACTGGAGTAGAAAATTTAAAATGAATATTTCATAATACACCAGTGCCTCTCACAAATTTATGTGGACATCACGTCAATAACTGGGTGAAAGATTGATGGACTATGATGTCCCCTGGTGGACCATGAAGCAGCTGGTGGGAACGAAGATATTAGGGCTATTTTTATACATTCTCCTCTTTATGTTTTAATCTATTAAACCAGGCTACAAGAGCAATACACACAGTAAAGTTGAACAAAATGGGAAGTGTCCTCTGTGGAAAAATATAATGAGTGATGACGTTTGCCACATTGGGATTCCAGGGCAGCACTTACTTTGTCTTAAGCAATCTTGAGTGTGAGAATCCATAGTCAACAGACCATCAAAAATATGTAACTTTTCGTTATATTGTGTGCTTTTGTCACTATCTGTATCATAAATGTTAAATCAAGAATTTAAGTTTAGAGAAGGTTCTTGAGTTGTTGTTTTTTTGCAACTTTGTACATTTTTGACCATATTCGCAATGACAAAGACCCTCCCAACCTCATCATCTGATTTCACTGGATCTGACAGCGTCTTATCTCATGGTATCAGAGCACTTCTTTGTTTGACTCTGTCCATGTTGTGATGTGCAGCCTGAAGTAGCTCCTGCTTGGATTTCTTGTCATGTTCTTTAAACATGAAGTGAAAAGTTAGAGCTTGGGCTGGACATGTCTTCGGATGTCTCTAGTTTTCTATCTCAAAATAGCACAGGCTAAGTCAGAAGGAGCCTGGGATCTTCATAAAGTAAAGTAGTTTGGTGCATTGGTGCAACTTCAAAAAGGTGTTTTGTACATAGGCCAATATCACAGAAAGTGATAGTAAAGTAAACTAGTATAGAGGTACATGGCTATCTCGAGAAAAAAGGTATTTTCAGTTCAGGCTGTTATTACATGCTGCCCAACTGACTGCATGGCTTTATACACAATGTAATAGAATTAATTTTCTCTGTTATGTTGTTGGCGGTGTTTGGATTGCCAACTCCAGTTCAAGTGAGAATCAAATATTATAATGCATGTGATTAAAGCAGGCATCACAAGGACTTTAAGTGCATCTACATGAATGCAGTGCAGACAGTAGGTGGTGTAAAGTTAAACATGGTTCTATTACGACAGGTATTTTCCTCTTCATAACAGCTAACCCCCTTTATTTGGCCCATTTGGCAAAGGGTACGTCAGTTCTCCAACAGGCAGGATCAGGATGATATGAGAAGTGCTGACAGCGCACATCTTCCACAGTTAAGGCAATGGGGCTAATGTGTGCCGCCTTAAGTGTATGGAGTGTAATGTCCCATAGTCTTTGCTGTGCTACAGAAGCTTCTACGCTGTTAGCCATGAAGTGTAAGTCAATATTAGTCACAAGTCTGGACCCTGAAAAGGCTCCTGTCTGCCTTAAGTGATTGAAGAGGAAAGTGGTTTTGAATGTTGTGCTGCAGTCCGGTATGTGGGTATAATGCCAAAGCTCTCGCAATAGTGTAACTCAGCACTGCAGCAGCCGTGCATTAGGATGGATGAACCTCCAAATGTGTGCGCCTAAGAAAAGGGTCACACAAATGACAAAGTCATGCTGCATCAGCGGGCCATAAACATGCTGAGCTGATATTGGGATAACAAGCTCGCCTTCCCAGACAGAGGACTACAGAGTGAACCATCTCGGACACCCCTCAACACATTTGCCTGCATTTGTTTTGGAGGTGCTGAAGTGGGTTGGCAAGCTGCCAGTATTCAACACTGTGGGAACAAAGTCACTTCATCAGAAGACACATTTAAGGGAAGACAGAGCTCATCCAAAACTTCTGCAACCTACTTCTGAAACATAGGTACTGATTAGAAACATTTTGGTCTGTCACTTAGATTTACAGAAAATGTGCCTATATTGTTTTGTATTTGAATCCTTTTAATGTGCATATGCTTTAATGCAATATTTATGATACCATTTAACATATAAAATGTTAAGATATTGTTCAAAAATTCCACAATTTGCGTATGTAGTTTGGTGAGGTAAAAGCAACCCCATAATTTATAGCCCATAGTCCTTAATAATTAATGACATCCACCACAAAAGTGGTTCTGCTTGTCTACTGAATTAAGTATGATTGATTCACATATAGCCATTGAGAGCAACACTCTGGAAACATCCCTATCAATGCAGTCACTCTAATAGCACTGCTGAGGTGTAACTAGAGACAGTGAAATATGACAGTGCTTCATTTTTACAAGACAATAACACAGAAACGTAGTGAGTATTAAGTACTGCATTTGCATCAACTTTATGACACTAGGCTATATGTAGACTACTCCTAATAAAGGAAAGTGCATATAATATTAAGCTGGTAGCCTGAGATCCAAAATATACACTTCTTCACTACTTTACAAAGATCTGAGTCTGGTCACCAGTGAATGTCCTCGTTTTCAAATAGCTGTGATTGACAGGTGGATTAGTCATTCGGGGACAAGCGTAGTCGAATCGAAAAAAAAAAAACAAAAAACACGAAAATCACAGAGATCTGTAAAACAGCATAGATTTCTGCTGAATCAATGAGCAAAGCACTAAACTCTGTTAATTTGGTGAGGTGAGATAAATTAGATTGCATTTGTAAATCACGGGTGACCAATGAGTTCCTTAATTTCACATCACATTTGACCAGGCTTGAGGCACAAAAGGGGAAGAGAGGTCTAGAATGATATCTCTTTACTGTCACTGTATAGTATATTTAATAAACTGGCTCGATTACAGTGAAACATGCATTTTTCTTCTAAAATGGACATGGGCTACCATTGTAGTATTGTACACTAAAGTCAAAGCTCTCCTTGTTTTCCCAAATGTTTGACAAACAAACACATATGACAACCCCTGGATTTGTTGGATTTGTGTGCAAACAGCCAAATAAGTGTGTTCTGTATTGATGGATTACATTTTATCTTGTCTCATCAGTTTCAGACCTCAGTGCTACTTGCAGTAATTCTGGGTATTATCCCACCAAACTAATTAGGCCAATAATTGAAAATCACAAAACCTGTTGTGCACATGGATATGTACACATTTGTGCACATGTCTGAGATGATGACAGAAACTCTTGTGTGCTTTATTTAGTAGTGTATTTATTTTTTGTAATGCACTATTTTTTCCTTCTTTCACAAACTGAGCAAAGTTCGAAGGTGAAACACTAAGCCCACACTGCCATCTACTGGCATTTCAAAGCATAACATTGGGTGAGTAAAAATGAATCAAAGTACACCGAATGGTGAACCATTCAACGTTTCCTTTCAACTTTGCTAAATCGAAAACAAAATCTAGGCAGCAGAGCAGCCTTCCATTTTATTGGCTTTAACCATTCAGCTTCAGTCAGCAGATTGTTCTCTCTGTGCTACATTGCAGACTTTGTTGTGCGGAACAACACTTTCACTGAGCTCTCCTGAATTCTGGCCAGTGGCTATAAAACAGAGGGAGCACATCAGGGAGGTGTAGGACTCCAGGAGCAATGCCAATGTCTAGGCCCGATTTATACTGAAAAATACATAAATACATCCAAAGGCAGAAGACTCAACTGCACAGGGCTTAACAAGTGGGGTTTGGTTCTGGCTTTTTATAGCGACCGTGTAGCAATTAGTCCATCCATCCATTTGGTTTGAAAGTGCCAAAACAACTATTCGTGTTTGAGGTGTAGCTCTATTGACAGTAACAAAAACAAACAAACAAACAAACAAACATTTAACGCTAACTAGTATTTGCAAAGTTCGGCATAGCACCCTAAACTGTATGTATATTTACTTCCTGAATGTTATTTTTTGTAAGTGTGGCATATGCTGCTGTTTAGGTTGAACTTTTTTTTTTTTTTTTTTAAAGGACACAAATGTCCGGCAGAGTGCAGTAGTGCAGAGCAGGTACTGATAGAAGCTCCAATACTGTAAGAGAAGAAGAAAGCACCGTGTCACGTGATCGCAGTGTATCAACGGTAGGCCTCGCTTAGCATTTTAGCATAACACATTTCACTCGTAATCTGGACAGGACACGTACTTTGAAATAAAATGGGAATTGAAGATGAAACTGACAGAACCCTCTTCATCAGAAATCTGGACTCGAGAGTGACTGAGGAGCTACTATTCGAACTGTTTTTACAGGTGATGTTTTTGCTAATTCCGCTGCATCGTTAGCATGGTTAGCCAAACATTCGACAGAAAGACCAGGCGTAACTAGACATGTTTGTTTTAAAACAATCTAGTCATGCGACATATATATACGTTGGAAATGTACAAAAGAGCTTTTATCTGATAACATTGCAGATTGATTGCGCTGTCACGGTGTCTGCTAGCTTAGTTGGAAGCTAACACTACTCACCGGGGCCACCTGGATGTTTTGTACAGGCAGGACCTCTCATCAGAACCAAGATCCCGAAAGACCCAGACGGAAAGCAGAAGACTTTCGGTTTTGCCGTCTACAAACACGAGGTGTCTGCGCCCTATGCCATGCAGCTTCTGAACGGCACCACGTTGTTTGGGAAAACTATACATGTGCAGTTCAGATCTGGTAAGTCTAAGCATTTCTCTTAAGTTGCCCACTCTTCTTGAAGACAGAATTTGTGCATTTGTGTAGCTGCAATGTTTGGGTCAAATGGCCAAGAAACGTTGGTCCTTTTTAAATTAACATTCAGTGGAATTGGTGTAACACAAAAACAAAACGGTAATGGCCTTACTATCTTTATGGACATAAGACAGAGGGATACAGTTTAAGTTAAAATGTACACTGTTCATATTTTTTACGTGTGCTTTGGAACTTCATAGGAAGCAGCCATGGCAATAGTCCAGGAAACTCACAGAATTCCAGTCCTGCAAATACTCCTAATCCGCATGGGGCAAGGTAAGACATTGTTATAAAAAAAAAAAAAAAAACAACAACCACAAACTATCACTTTTAATAGAATCTGGAATGTAACTTTTTAGTCCAACCTTGAGTTTTTTTTTTCTTTTTTTGTCCAATCTTGCAATAAAGTGATTTGTGTTGTATTTTCTTTGTATACAACAGGAGTCCAGTTCAGTTCAATTCTCCACCGTACACTCCTCCACAAATGCAGCGTCCATTCTTCAGTCCAGACAACAATCTGCAGAAGCAAGTCATGGTAGTGTTTCACCTTCAATCCATTCTGGCTATAACTTTTAATGTTTTATGCATATTTTAATTGCTTTTTATTTTTAGATGAACAACATGATGTGGTCACTTCACATGCAGCAGATGCAGCAACTTGAGCAGTCAACTCCCTCCAAGTCTTTATCAAGGCCCGGAGGTGGTTCAAGACAGCACGACAGCTCCCCCTACAGGCAGAACAATGGAAGCAGAGGTCGTTATCAGGATGAATCTGGATCAGGGCGCTACCAGCCGTACAGCCACAGCCGTGAACACCATCACCAAAATGATCGGAGCCGTCACCATGACAACAGGAATATGAAGAGGCACCATGACGACAGAGGAAACAACAGCAGCTACCAAGACTCCAGGTTTAGACGCTACTGAGAAACTGGGATTTTGTAAAGACTCTTTTATGACTCTATAGACAGATGTTAGAAAAAAACATGAATTCTTGTGTACACTCAGGTTGTTCGTACATGGATCTACTCATTGGGGTTTATATAGATGATGTTTGAGAGCATTTTTTTTCTATTATTTTAACATGTTTTTAAAATTGTACTGTGCTTTAATTTGAACTTTTATTCAAACAGAACAGTCATATTGGGGCCAATATTGAAGTCTTGTAATATAATTTTGATGGAAAAAAGAAAAATAGAAATTGCCTATTTCTTGTATGCTGGTACTTGGTGCTTCCAACATTTTAACTTTGGACATTTTTGCTAAAAAAAAGATTTCACCAGCACCACAAAGTCTGCAACAGCACCAATCCTTATTATTGGCCAAACCTTTGTCCTTGGTCCATCTGGAAATGTTTTTTAATTTTAAATGATAGGTTCTTACTCTGTAAAAACAGCCACATGTTTTAAATGGAACACCTTTGATTACATAAAGCCCTTTCATTTCCAGAGTCCTTTGTGTGGTGTGTCTGGTTACCTGCTCCATTTTTGTTTTGGATTAAATAGACAAACAACAATTATACCATACCAATGTAGGTTGTGGCACTTGCGGTGCCTTTTGTTGTCCTATTAATGTTCCGATGTAACAATATGCCTGACTGGAGGTTATCTACAAGTGGCGCCCTTCATTGACTCAATTAATGCATCAATTATAACTGGCCCAGCAGCCCCTCTACACCTTTCTATTTAGAGTGCTTCCAAGTCTTAAGGGTTTAGCCACTCTCTGGGAGCCATGATGGATTGTTTATTTAGTAATTTATCATAATATCCTGGTAAATTCATACTCACAGATGAGCTTCGCTAATCGCATGGCAGGGTACTTGACACCACTAAAGCAAGCCTGTGTTTATTTTCCAATATTATTGACATTTCAAAAATCGGTGATTGTCCATGTCCTAGAATTAGCAGTACGTTAATCCCAAAACATCTCCTATTGCATGCAGTCTTTGAGCACGCCTGTGTTCACAAAGTGATGATATAATCCTTTAACGACCGCGTGGAGGTCATAATCTAGCCTTCCGAAAGCGCTTGTCGCCAACGGTGGCCCCGCGTTGTATCGACAGCTATATCCATCGTAAATCTCGGTGTCCAAAAGTGGCCGTGCATTTGCACCCTCGCCTGCATTAAGCTCTGTAATCTGCCTCGTGTTAGGTTGCACCCTGATCTTACCAAATGGCTCTAATAGAAAATATCCTTTACTCTGCTTATAGGCCCTTACTTGGCTGGGGGTAAAACTCTTTAATTGGTTGATCTGCCTGGCGTCTCCACACTCCTCTCGGTAGCCGCTGTTCTGACTTTTGTCGACCGGGCCAAAACGCGCACCAGTGCAGTCAAGGTACGAGTTTAAAATATCATAGAAATTGCATAATATTTTTGAAAGTATTGCACGCACAGAAAAAGATAAAATACAAAAATAAAATTCATAATAGCTATAAAGCAAATGCATTTTAACTTCGGCCTATTTTTTTTATTTTTTTTATTTTTTTACGTTATATAGGCTATAGATCAATGGCCATAGACAACATTAAAGCAATGCGCACGCTCTCAAAACAAACTAAAACAAAACAAACAAAAACTACCCGTAGATCTCGCGCGTCAGTCAGAGCATCAGTTTTAACCTTTGATCGGGGCTGAAACCTTTAAAAGGGTTTTTCCTCTGGTGCACACGTCCTCCTCTTCTGAAGGGCAAGACTAAGAAGCCTTTACGGATACCGTCCCGTAGAACACTATGAGAAAATGTAAAATGTTGGCATTTTACTGGAACAGGATAATGGATAAACATGGATCTAACTTAAAGAGATGATTGTCGAATTCAAAATATTTAGCTAACGACCTGTTGATAGCTTATGTGTATGTTTGATTAAGAGTTAACAGGCTGACCATGGCCTATAAAAAGATGAATAAAAGAGGTGCAGAGTGGACAGTGTTGTCAAATATAATCAAAACTGAGTAAGGCCAAAGGATATAAAGTCATATTAAGTCCCAATGTAGACTTTTAAAATTGTAGGCCAATGTTTACCAAAAATGTTTTTGCTGTTACATTTTAGCAAAAAATAGGCTAATTATAACAACTAATAAAATGTATCTGGGCCTTTACGCGCGAGCTGTGAAATCCATGTGCTCTGTTAAAAAGTGCATCGTGATTTTACAAAGCACGACTGAACGGCCTTAAAACCTGCTATCTTACTGTGTTTATTAGCTCTATAATAACAAAGCATTGTTACTTTAGTGGTGCAACGCGCGTGCTTTATCTATTATTTAGCCTATAGCCTACCCAATTGTGTAGGATCAGTGAAACTAATCTGAACTTTGTAAAACGCGAGTGTGTTTGAATAGGTCTGAGCGCGCGTGTATTTGACTCGGGGCTGGGAGCAGAGGCAGAGAGGCGGGGGCAGGGCGGATGGAGCGGTAAAGATGTGTTCAGACTCCGATGGCTTATATAGCAGAGGGTGTGAGCGCACGCAGCAGTCACTTCATTAGCGTAGAGTGTAGCTTCACACCAGGGTTATTGTGGCGACCTTTCAGAACTGAAGCAGCTTAAAAGATAATGTATAACTTAAATGCATGAACTTGACCTGCTGAATCAACTAATTGACCTCTAAAAAGTCTTCCTTCAAAACACCACTTTGCGCATCAGAAGTAGGCTACCAGGCGTAGAACTGACGAGAGGGAGAGACCATGCACTGTCAAGCCGAGCTGAGGCTCTCCACCCCCGGGCAGCTCAAAGCGGCAAGGAGACGCTACAAGACTTTCATGATCGACGAGATCTTGTCCAAAGAGACTTGTGATTATTTTGAGAAACTTTCTCTCTACTCCGTGTGCCCTTCGCTCATCGTTCGACCCAAGCCTCTCCATTCATGTCCAGGTAAGTCCGAGTACATTTGTTTGTAACACATCCTTTAGACAACACAATTTATATTCGGCTGTGCATAAGGAATTTTAATAAATTAGTTATTCACTTTATTTGCGTAATTGCTTTAGCTATTGCTTTTAGACAGTACTTTATCGCAACTTCCAAAGGCACGTAAAACTTTCCTCCAATTTCATTTATGTCGCCGCTGTAGTTTTACTTTAAATTTATGCAACGTATTTTACTGTAGCTATCGCTATCTTGTTCACTGATCACAAATCATTATCTGCACCGGAAATCACCTTTCTGGTACGCTGTATATCAGCTCTTAATTATTTTGTGGTGAAAGCGTTTGACAGATAGCAGCGATGCTCCGAGGCACATATGATGCATGATGATAAATAAGAACCCTAATGTGAGATGTAATTTTACTTAAGGTGTTGGTTCAAAATATCTTAATATTTTTTACAGAATACGCTTTTATTGATTTTACCCGGTCAAAAATTAAAACTTAATAAATAAATAAAAATAAACTAAACAAAGTCAAAATTATTCCTGTACAGACTATTAAATATATGTTGAGTGAAACCTTGGCAGAAACTCAGGTCTATTCAAATTTGTTTTCACACAAGACTACTAAAACGAGTCAGCTGCTACAACACTTGTTATCTTGTCTAAACAAAGCTTCTTGGCCGCTTCCTAATTGTAATTCCAACTACATCCAAATAACTGCGCTAGCCACGTGTGCTAACCATTAAGATAATTGCGCTAAAGTCTGAAATAATAGCCAGTGCAATTTGATGATGACAGCGGTGAGTGAATAAAAATAGGATTCTCTCATCCCTGTGATATGAATTGGTGTGTGCTGGAGCGCACGGTGCTTTGGCACCCTTCTGTGCGCATGGATAGGGTAACCTGATGGGCCCGCATATCCGAACAGTTCGCCCACCGCTTTATTTGTAACTGCGTGAGTGTGAGACACAGTATATTGCTTAACTTCATTGGCTTTTAAGAGCTTTATTTAGAAACTGGCAGCCTCTGAAGTTCCCTAAACAGTGAGATTGTGTAGGTGCTTTTCCATCTTTCCACCAGTAGAGGCCATTGAGAGACAGCCATGTTTTTACTGGGATTCAAGCCCACTTTGACATTCGACATAGAAACATTAAAATGGTGTCTGATTTTGTCCAGCTTTTACCTAGGGATGCCCAGTTATTTTTTTGTTAGGTCAGATGTATTAATTTGAGATAAATCAAATTAAGTTCCAGTTAAAGCGCTGTGGCAAAATGATTAGTATTAGTGTGAAAGGGATGTATTTTATTTATTTTTTTTCCATTTTATAAAAAGCTTGCATGTGCACAAAGTATCACAAGGCAATGACTCAAAGTTCTACCGTGTAATAGCATGTTTGACAATTTCATTTAGGCTTCCATCTTTCAGTCCGTCAAACAGCCCAGCCCAAGGATGGGGTTTCAAACTTTGAAAGTCTAAGAATGTATCATCATCTCATTTGAAAGCTGGAAGAAAATAACCCTGTCTGTGAGTGAAAAGAAACAAATGTGGCAAAAATCACAACATAAAAATTACCCCACAGACAAATTTAACTTTTTGCAAGACAGCAGCTGCCGTCCCACAAATGTATTCAAACTTGAAGATCTTAAATTCAAAGCATTCTTTTTCAATTTATTATCCACACATTATAACAGCTTTATTATAAATAGCTTTCTATAGCAAAAGAAAAAAATCAATTCTCTCAACTGGATAAACATTTCCCTTCAGGCAGATATATGGCAGTGCCCATCGGCAATCTGACCAGTACTGAAGAAGCTGCTTGGTGAGCTACAAAACGTCTTCACCCAAAAACCTGTGTCCAGTAGACAAAATAGAATTTTTCTTTTGCTATAGATCCTACCTGGACGACTGAGGGTTTACAGACATAACTTTATTTATTTTATAGTATAGTGTATATTATAATAAACAACATCTGCACTATTGCACAGTTCTGTAAATTAATAAACAGGTAGTGCATACAGCCCGAGGCCACTGTGGTGCTGGTTTTGGTTCTGACTCACAGCTTAAATTCTAGATAAGCAAAAGCATTTTCATACTTAATCCTTTGCATACAATAAGTCGTCCATTAGGCTTAGATAGGCTTGATTACACCCTTGTCATCACATCGGTAAGAAGTCACATACACAAAGGTAAAACGCAACTCCTTTCGCCTGGATTAGGTTTCAGAAATCTGTCATCTCCCCGTCAAATGTCATCAGATTTTGTCTTTCGCAACAAGCAATGAGTTATGAACTGGTTGTTAAAGCAGGTTGCGCTACAGGCTTATTTTACTTCATCACAAGAAGACGTGTCAGAGAATAGGTATCAAATTAAACAGTTATCGCTAATGTTTAATGTCTTTCTTAAAAGTGCCTGCGTTCCAGTAGATGTAGTGTATAGGCCTGGGAAAATATCAAATTTCATCGTTCCATCTCCTCGAGGTAAAAGAGGCTAATTAAAAGCAACTTATTTGGATTGAATAAAGAAAACTTGTTGCTCCTCTCACACTGACTGACATACACTCAAGGCTATAGACAAAAATAATTACAATGACAACCCAATACTGTACTGCTGACTTTGTAAATAATAATATTAAATGACGGAAAAGTTTCATAACATTTAAAGCTGATATTTGAGATGTGGTTTTGCTGTGCACTTTATTATGCAATGCCATATTTCACATAGTCTATAATGAATGCGCTTGCAGGGTCATGTGAGAGTACCCTTGTGCCATTATGGAAGGGCATCTGGAAAATGTGCTTATCAATATGCGAATAAATAAATCATGCACGTTAGCTAAATATATCTTTTAAGTCATTGCTGTAATTAGATTTCAGAACAATCTTATAAGTAATGGTTCAACACTCAGCTACCGTCAGAAGTGTAATGCTTGTCAACCTCCTGTCAGATAGGCATTTTGATTATCAACGCACTGGCATGTTGTTTTGTTTTCACAGATTTTTAAATAAATTGCGTCCCACAATTTTATAACAACATTCTATACATGCTTTCTAAAAATAAAACAGAATTCATACAACTACCACATCCACAACAAAAAATATATAGTTACAACAGTATATTTTGCAAAGGTGCAGAGAGGAGAGGGTTTCTTGTCTAGACCTGTTGCTACAAACTCACGTTGGAGGATTAGTGACCTCAGTGTCTCAGTATGATGTCATGATGCGCCCAAGGCAAAGACTACAGCGTGTACGGTTGTGTGTGTGTACGATTGTGTGTGTGTGTGAGCGCAAAGTATATGTGCGATTACATGCTGCACTTAATGTTCCTCACCCTTGACTCACATCTTAAGGAAGTTTTATGGCTTGATGTTGCACAATGGCAGGCAGTTTTGCAGCTACAGTTATCCTTCTGTATGTAGTAAAAATAAATTGAGTATTTGTTTTTCAGATGTGACTATTAGACTGCAAAGATTGTGATGAATGGGTTTGCAGATATGTTTTGTTATTAGAATATGAATATGAACATATAAAGTAACATTAAAATAATAATAATTGTCATGACCATTTAAATTTTTATACTATTTTTGTCTTATGTTTGTATTAATTTGACCAATGCTGCCTTCACAAACCCAGCTAACAGCTTTCTCTGGCCTTACTGGACACTTGCAACTTTTTTTTTTCCATCTGCTTTGATTATAATTAGTTAATCTGTGAACAAGCAAAGAAAAATACAGTTAACAAAATTAAGTTTAAAAGATAATGAATAACTTAATAAATGAATTCAATTGAATAAATCACGTGAATCATCACTGAAGAGCTTGATAAACATGGACTATGTCAGTGAGTTCGTAACCTCATTGCTGTTCAGGGTCAAATCACTTTTCATTCCAAAGCAGGTAAAATATACCCCTGGAGTAACATTAGTAAAGTGGAAATTGCATAGGTTCAAATATGTAGTTGGAGTAATCAAGCGGCTTGAGTAATAGTAGAAATACAAGAGGTAAAGTTTGATTCTAGTAGAATTTTTCACTGTATATAAAATACTTGTAGTAGTAAGTTCAAATTTCAGTAGAGATTATGAATGGCAGCACAAAGTATGTAATGTACTCTTAAAATTTAAAACCGAGTAGTAACTCAACAGTATTTGTGGTAGTGGTAGAATTACTCGCAGTACTAGTATATGTCGGGATAGTATTTAGTAGAGGTCCAGAATAGCCTTGTAAAACATGTGGTGCGTCATTGAGTTCACTGCCCCTTACATGTCCAGGGTCAGCAAAAAACACTTTTCACTGCAAAAATAGCACAGTTAAAGTATCAACCCATCTCAGCAATTATGAGCGATCGATCTGGGTACAGCTGAGGTCTAGTATCCTTTTATTGCATTTGTTTGATTCACTGTCCTCTTCCTCCAGGTTCATCATCTCTCCGTGCCTACCCGCTCCTGTCGGTGATCACGCGGCAGCCCCCCACCCTGGCCCCATCCCACCTGCCCCGGGATGCCTCTCCTCCGGTGGGGCTGCCCTCTCACCTGCAGCACCCCCGCGGCCCTGAGCCCTCACCCAGCCAGACCCCCCTCAGCATCAGCAGTGAGTCAGACACGGAGCACGGCACGCCACGCCTCAAGAAGCCACGTCGCAGTCGGACCATCTTCACCGAACTGCAGCTCATGGGACTGGAGAAGAAGTTTCAAAAGCAGAAGTATCTCTCTACACCGGACAGGTTAGTCAAAGTAAACATAATTGTAATGCACAAAATAGTCACTCTTGTTTGAAAACAAATTTCAGTTTTATATAAATGTCTATTATTCTTAAAAGGAACACAAAAAGCAAAAACATTTTTTAAAATGTTTTAAATGGAAAAATATAAAATACAATGACAAAAATAAATAAATAAATAATAATAAAAAAAAGTTAAATAAATAAATAAAACAATGTATGTTACTAAAACTCAGATTGTAATACTGGATAGTCTTAATAGACTTAATAGTAATGTCTTAATAGTAATGTCTTATTCCCCCAGTGTCTCTAAGGATAGAGTAAATATTTATCATATTTGTGCAGTAGCAAAATAAATATATATAAAATACTTTTTTGTACATAACTTATTACTTATATTTTCTTCGTTCTTTACTACTTCAATAAAAATACTTTTCATTGTAATTGGAATACATTATCCATCACATACAAAATCATTGCAAGACATCTATACCTGTGGTCTTCTGTTAATAAATTCATTTTATTCGGGAAGTCACAACAAACATGAAATAAAAAAAAATTCCACGCTGAGCTGAAACTGAACCCCACATAAAAGCATTAAACTCGGTTTATAACTTCTCCTCAAAACCTCCTAAATGATTTTGTGAGTACTTTTCATGAAAGAAAGCAAAACACTGACGCATCAAAAGTGTCTCATTTTGCACTTATTAAATTTCAACCCGATCTACGAGAGCAATTTGACTCATAGTATAAGTGTCACTCAGCGCTGACATTTTGATAACTTGCTAAAACATACCTGGCTATTAAGTGCATTTTCAAAACAAAACTTATTCACACACCTACAAAAGGCAGGCATTCACTAGACCACAAATGCAATTATAAGAAGTGGTTAACCCGGCATCATAATTTTTCATTTATCCTGTGGGGATAGCTGGGAGTAATGCGAATTTAAAAGAGCCAAAAACATTACCTCAGCATTCTAGTTGGGACAAGATTTTAACCGTGAGCAGTTCAAATGTGAAAAAAAAAAAAAAAAAAAAAAAAAAATCCACACTGCCTCATTCAAGAAAACAGGGAGACGTGCCAAGTAAAGCAAACACGAATGTTTTACACTGATTTACTGCCAGTCTTTTTGCACATGTGCAGGTGTACTATCTATAAAAGTGTGTTTCATTTGCTACAATAAGATGAGGTAATATGCACACTAATGTCAGTGGCCAAACGTTCAGGTCACTTTTGGGTCTAATGCAAGTCCGAATTATATTTCCCAGTTTTACAGCGATTTTTACTCACCCTAAAGGCTATTTTTCCAATAAGCCATGGTACCATTGAAGCATAAATGTCAGTTGAATATGATGATTCAAATCTGCTTCAGGAATTCCAAATACTCAGTGACCCATAAAAAATAAACCGACACATGTATTTTTGTACTAATTATTAACATATTTTTCGCTTTTACGCCATGAACAAAATACAAAGACCGAACATTAAAAAGTTTGTTTATATAATGTAATTTTTCAATATAGGACAAGAATCAGCACGCCTTTCTATTATGGGATGCAATAAAACATTTCAACATGCTCAAAATAATCCAGATGTATTTTGCGAATCCATTTCCATGCCATCCGTGAAGAAAAACTCCCACGTTACATTATTAATATGTCCCGTCCTGGCTCGCCCTCCCGCAGATCCTGGAAGGTCCAACCAGCCACCCATACAGCACCCAATACTGTAGAAAATTAATTAAACACATCTGGCAGGAAAGCATCAGTGTGAAAATCCCCTTACATCAAAGACATGGCATGCTCCACTCCAGTTTGTGGTGATCCAAAGATAACTAGAGTTTTATTCCCTTTGTCTTGGCATGTGACCACAGCGGTGTTGATGGCTGAAACCACGGCAACAGTAAATACCACAGACTATTTTTATCATGGACTAAAAAATGATTGAGATCTCTGTTTAATTACAATAATTATAGTCAAACTAATCCACAGTGATTACTATTATTATGTTTTGAAAATTAAGTGTTAAATAACTGCTTGTTCTAAAAAACCTGATATCTGCAACTAATATTTTTACTCAAGTTAATTACACTCATCTAAATCAATATTTTTTAGTATTTTGAATTTAGATGCTATGTTGCCAAATTGTCCCCTTAGGTTCTGTCTGACTTTTTTGTTGAAAATATATTCTTGTTCCTAAATACCTACTGTACACTTAATTTTTTTTACTTTACTATGAGCAAAAACCCATCTCCCCTTTAAACCTAACCTTAAACAAAATGCAAATAATTCTAGTGGACAAAGTTATTATGCTAATTACGTAAATTGTAATCTGTAAAATGGTCAGTTGTGTTTGAATTATTGTCAAGAGAAAGTCTAAAAAGAAAGGGTGACATGTAGTTTCTTGGTCATTGCAAACGGTTCAGTCACAAAGATTAGTAGTCACTAAAGGAAGTTCGGATAAGAATGACCAAACCAAATCGCCTGGGTTACTCCTCATTTTTCCGTTTTATGTTGTCTTCCTCAATGTAGCTCATAAAAGGAGCACTGTTAATAACATTTATCTTAGAAGTCTAGAGAAGAGGAAGTCTCTTTTGTAACCAATCAGATAAACCCTCCCTCTCAAATCAGATTTTGTTATTTCTTGTGTCTTTCACTGCGGTGTTGCGTTACCCACTGGCCCACAGACCTTTTAGTCATGGATCAACACATGTGCTTTATGCATTTTAGTCCTTTTTCAACACCAATCATTTATCCACACCAGGGACGATTGTGTTACTAAACCTAGTGCCTGAGTTACCCCACCATTTCCTATAGGTGCAGGTGTGCAGTGTCAGAATGGCCTGGCAGCTTTGATGTGGAAGACAAAACTTAAGTGCTTTCTTATCCCACTGTTTGAAATGTCCACATTGCCACTTAAAAGGAAGTAGTAAATGGAGTATTAGAAGTAGCAGGTGCTTTAAAATGATGTCTTGTGTTTTGCAGGTTAGACCTCGCTCAGTCACTCGGACTCACTCAACTCCAAGTTAAGACGTGGTACCAGAACCGACGTATGAAGTGGAAGAAAATGGTAAATTCTAAAATCATCGTTGAATACATATAGGGCTGACTGCTGTACTTACTGAATTCTACTGTACTTTTTCTGTACTTAAAGAGTTTTGGTACTTCACTTATGCTTTTTCATTACACTCTGATAATCATTGTGCTGAATCATACAATATGAATTATAGTTTCCATGAATTCTAAAACCAAAATATTACAGCAAAACCAGTAACTTTTGGAATTTGTAGTATTTGAGATAGCACTGTCTAACATTCTATAGTCCTGTTCTTATCTTGTCTGTCAAAAAGTAGTAGTAGTAGTTTTTGACAACTCTATTTTTAGTATCATTACATATACTGTGAAGATACCCAGTCCTAGTCATGGTCATATTGTTATGTCTGATCAGTAAAATTCAAAAGGTTTGGACTTTAACTCAACATCAAATACATTTATTACATTTTCAGTTATGTATTTCATGTACAATAGAAAATCAATGTAAAGGAACTATAGACTGAAAGTATTAATTGTGTCCAGAGCTAATAGTCTGGAGGTGATGACAGCAGAGAGAGCAAACACTTTAGAGGAAGGGTCAACAGAAGTGAGAGAACAAAAAACCCACCCAAATCATTACGGACAAATGAGCGCAGAGGGGAGCAGCCAGTGGCCATCCGTCTTCTTTAATGACTATAATAGCCCACAATGCCTTTAACTACTGCCATTTATTACCAGTAGTACCCTGGCCAACCTGTCTCTGTATTATTGTAGGTCCTTAAAGGAGGTCACGAGGCCCCCACCAAACCAAAAGGGAGGCCGAAGAAAAACTCGATCCCCACGACGGAGGAGATTGAAGCTGAGGAGCGCAGACTACAGCAGGAGGAGGACGAGAGGAGGCGGAGGGCGGCTGGTGAAACGGCGTTAGCTCCAGAAAATGAAGAGGAACAAGAGGTGTTTTTAGAGGATGTGAGGGAAACTGGAACTCATAACGCACCCGTGATTGTGGAGGAAGGCGAGAAGATGCAGCTTGTAATGCCGTCAGAATGCCAAAATACAAGTTAAATGTTATCGACATGCCAAAGACTGACGCCAGCCAGAACAAAGAGTGCCTCAGGGTCACTGTAAAATGCCTGTGTTGTTATAGCCATATGCTTTAAATAGGGGTTGTGACTCTAACCAAAATTCAACTTGTAGCCTTGGTATTGTAAGTGGTATTATATGAGCTGTAATGATGCTCGTTGCACTGGTAAAAATCAGGAATTTTCAAAACAAATCTCCTTATCTGCCTCAAGTTTCCTATGTGCCAAAAATTCAATGTTTGCCTTATAAATATGTAATAATAAAATAAATAAAATATGTAATGACACCTAATACCTGATGCCTAATACCTTCACTGCCAAAACTATCTGTTGCTACGCAGTGCCTTCCTTGTTCTGAGATGAAATTTCACTTTAAGTTTGAAGTGAATTTTACAGTGCATTTATTATTTGTTTATAAGAAATTTATATCAAGTAAATTTGCAAAATTGTATTCTATGAATGTAAAGCCATAGACTGTAGAATTGTGTAGAAAGGTGTGGAATACAAATATGTCATATAAAATACAATTGTTTTCTGTGTTCCTTTTCCTTTTTTTAAATTTTTTTTAAATTTTCAGAACAGTGAACTCTTTTCAAGTTCTAATTCCTGAACAACAAAACCCCCTATGCATTTAGAGTTGCGAGTCTTGCATGAGCCCTATCAGTATGTTGTATTATCACAACAGTTTTACTTGTTTGCCTCTGACTGCTCCATCCACAGTTTCTTTTTTATGAATTATAAAGATGTATTTTTATTTGATATTTTTCATATAATATTGCAGTATTTTCCAGATGTAAATAGTGCCTTGTTGGGAAAGCTTGTTTGATGTTTTTATGTGTATAAAGTTATTTTTACTCCAAGTGTGTGTTTACGTATTTAAATGCACTTAATAAAATTATATCACTTTGAGATATTTTTTATGATCTACTTTTATCATTACAAGTATCCAGGGAGAATTGGTATTAGTCCCAAACATAAGTGAACTGGATAAGGTGTGTAAGGAAGGGCATCAGGTGTAAATCCTTGCCAAATGTCATCACAGAATTAAGTTTATGAAATATACAAATACACATTTTTCTTTGCCACACAAAAACATGCTAACTTGTCATTCATGTACTGGCAGTGTATAAATCAAGAGGTTACAGTAGCTATGACATGATGATGTGTGGGCAGAGCCATTACAGAGACGCATTTGGAGAAATATTACACTTAGTCAAAGTTCACCATAAATCAAGTTCAACAGAACAAAGCATTTAAGCACTTTGCGTTGTGACATTTATCATCTTTATCTGCACTGCAAACACACTGGCCTGTGGTGCACCCAAGGGCTCCTCGTGACCCTGATCCACTGCAGAGGAGTCTGAGGAATATTTTTAGTGGCTGATGGCGGACATGGATGGTTTCTTAAGCAAACAGTGGTGGTTTGCACGGAGTGATTGTGCACGGTGCTCAAACGCCCTGTGCAAACATGCCTCTTCATAAGTGTGTGCACTGGCCTGACATTTCTGTAAAAGATGATAAAACACTCTGGTTTCGGTACAATAAATCATGTTTACACTGGAGCTGATTGACAGTCAATCACTGCTGTTAAGTCCAGTCAATTACACTTAACATAGACATTGTGAGCAATCACCACTATCATGTAAGTGAAAACAGCGGTAATGCTAAACAGAAAAGCTGAAAATACACGCAGATATTATACACAACGACTTGACCATGACCCTTCACTCGGTGTATTTATTTATTTATTCTTCACAAGAACAGTACATTATGACTAACAGTGTAACTGCATAATATTCAAAAGGCTTGTTTTCATATGTAGTCCTTTGGCAGATGTACAGAAGGCTCCCTGGAAAGAGGGATCAAAAAAGATAAAACATAATAAAACATTTTACAGTTAAATTAAGCTGTGCTATGACTAACACTGAAATTTAGAATGTAATTTACACATTAAATTACAGTTAGAGATTTAAATGTGCAGGTATTTGAACAGCATGTATTTATCAAATTATTCTTCTTTATTTACTCGAGTTAAGTGCTTTTCTCACTGACTCAGCTCTACACCTGCATAACTTTATGGCCATAAAATCTTTTTGACTGTTTATAATTTTGGACTTTAATTACAAATGATGGGTGCAAACTTGTTCCACCTAACACTGTGGTGAAAACACACTCAATGACTTAATGCAAGTCCCCACAAGAGGCTTTAGCTTCCTTTAGGCTAATTGTTGTGTGGCAAGCTAAGGAAGACTTCTCTGATCTGCCCTCGAGCAAGACACTGGTGGCCTAATTGAAGAACCTGTTATTTTCTCACAGGCCCAAGTTCAGCAACAGGTCACAAAGGAGTGGAGAGGAGTGAGTGCTGTACGTGCGACCACACCCCCATCCATCGCACACCTTCACCTGTCGGCTTAACGTACGTACAGGTAATTAGCAGGGGCCCAGGTGAGGGGAGAGGGGAGAGGGGGCCAGGTCGGAGGAAGTTATCTCTAAATGTTGAGTGCAGCCACAACCCAGAGCTTAGTTAAGTCAATAAAGGTGGATGCTTTCTGCAAGATGCACAATACCAGCTATTGTCCTCCTAGAGAGCCAATAGAAGCAGTGACCGTGGTAACACGAGGGCTGTTGACTGGCTTTCGAGCCATGTTGAGCAATGCAGATTTTGTCACTCTCCTCCTCTAAACATATAATACACACTCTATTTAGTTTCATAGTGTTGTCATTGAGCAGCCACTGAAACTCCTAGAGTCAAGTTTAACAAAGAGTTACTGTCATCTAGAACTTCCTGTTCAGATAGCAAGCATCCATGTCATACTTCTAATTGGCTTAATAACCAGTCATTGAAATGATAATATTCTTGTGTCAAGATTTATTATTATATGATTATTTTATTTATGGCTTGATTTTGGAAGTAAGCCAGAGTTTGAGAAGTTGTTCTTGCATGGTTTGCATGCATGGTACAGTAAATATAGTGTACACTGACAAACAACTATTTATCCTCATATCACTAATGAATGGATTGAATGGTTTCAGTATGCATGACTTTGCACAGTAAAAGTGATTAGTTTGCAAGTAAATAATACCTGTTTGCAGACACTCACTTACTTTTAACCCTCTCAGGCTCAAATAAATTTTTAGTATCAGGAAAAATCTGATATTTGGGGAAAATTATCATATGGGGTAGTAATATACAATCCTCACTTTTTTATCCTTTGTAAACAAAAAAAGTATTTTGCACTTCTGGCAGGCCATTTGCATCTGCATCGCCCAGGTTTATCAGCATGGATGGGAGAAAAGGCTCCTGAGGACAAAAATCTCATAAAATATGGATGTGGAGTAAGTTTAAATTGGAATTTAGTTGTTGCAAATCTGCAACGCCTGCCTGGAGAGGGTTAAAAGGACCCATAATATGATTTTTATTTTTTTTTTCTTATCTGTGTAATCTAATATAATGTCTGCTAATATTGTTTCCTCATTAAAACATATTGTAAATTATGTTTTGCTTTATTAACACGTTTAACACACACACTCTGAACATTAGACTGACCAGATCAGACCAGAATATTCTGTTTAGTTCTTCTCTCAAATGGGAAAAACGCTGTGTTTTTAAATTTTAAATTTAAATTTGGATAATTTCATTGTCTGTCTCTACTGAACCAAAGTTAAAAGGTAGCTGTTGAAAACTACCACTGCATGACATCACAAGGTGGAACAGAGCATTTTGAGCTTTGTAGATGTAGACAGAAAATATAGATAATAACTATAAACTAAATTATAATAAAACATGTGTGAATGAAACAAAACACAACTCAAGGTATGTTTTTGAGCAGGTAAAAATATTATATCATGGCTTAAAGTTCACAGGAGTCAATGTTGCGTAATATAGGATGTTTAACTACCAAATATAGCAGGTACATAATATTTCAAGTTGTAATCAAATCTGTACTCTTGTGATGGCTCATTTTCAGGTCGCCATAACTGAGACAAGACGACATGCAGGGCCTCCACTCAGCACACTTTTAAAGGCATAAATCAGACAGTGGATACATGGGCTAAGTGTATGTCTCTGTGCTTGTTTTTGCTGCAGGCTTCCTAAAAGGCCTGCCATTTCCGCTGTTCAGGAGATGGGTGGTAATAGACCTGTCAATGCACCTATACCCAGGAGCTACTGTGCTGTATGTCACCAGCATTATGGGTCTGCAGAAATCCCCCACATATTTAAGGAAATCCCATTCACTCACAAAAGCTGTCAAATGTTCAAGAGTAAATTCATTTTTTTAATTTAAAGTTGCATTGTGTAACTTTTCAGACCCATCAAATGCTTTTCTGCATGGAGATGTTATTGGTTTGTCTGGAATGTTTCACAATGGTATTAAACTTTCTGTCATCATGGTGACCAAAACAGACATTGCAGGTTAGATCTGTGGAGAGGCAACCCTGCTCACAGTCTGCATGCCTGTTTCTTTAGGTATTTTTGAGCTATAATATCTGTAATTAAAAAAATAAAATAAAAATAAAATAAAAAGTTAGAGCTGTTTAATGTAAATTATCAACATACTACATTTATGTGGGCTTAGGACTGAAGCAAAAAGTACAGTGACTTTTGACCCCTAGTGGTTGGATTCAATTTTATGGCTTGCACTCAGATAAAATAAACTAATTTGAATAATAAAGAATACTTCACAAAGAGGCACGCGAAGCAGCATTGACCTCTCACGTCTCCATAGAATACTTAAACCCCTTAAGACTTTTTGACAACTCTGGTTCCTGTTCATTGTTATTCTTGCACTGCTGGTCACTTCCTGTTGTCTTTGGAAAAAGCGGTTTGTATATTCAATGTCTTAATGCCTCTTGAACAGTGCCAGCAGCAGACAGGTAATGAGCCAGGTGAGGGATCAGGGCCATCTTCAGCTAATTCCCAATAGAGAGAGTAAATCCAAACAAGCTTGGATGGAGATTGGTGATTGACAGTCTGTGAAGAGACTGTATTTTCTCAACAAGTTTAGCCTCTCCTCTGTCAGCGGCCGTGACAGCCCAGTATGTCAGGGATGTAGTGAAGGGGCTGCCAGCGCTGATGTCACAGAGCAGCCAGGGGTCAGCTGTCAGATTATAGGCAAAGGGGCAGGGCTAAGAGACATGTGGGCGGGCTAACACACTGTGTTCCTCTTGTCATTAAGGGTTTAGTGAATAAACCTGAACACACATTTCTTAATAAAACAGTTGAGTGATCAGACAGTTGTACTCTGTGCAGCTTTGGCTAAGTAAGGTTGCAATAGCACATGATTACATATTCGTAAGCTCTTAATAAGCTCCGTAAAGAGGGTAATTTGTAGATGAGTTACAAGTTAGAAAACAAGTGAGAAGTGGCACGTTCAGCATCCTAATAATGCTGTGATTACAAAGACCTGTAATTTGTATTCAAGTGTGTGCATAAAGATAGGCCTGCAGAGGCTGTAGCCCCGTGGTTACACATCCCAAATGATACTTGATAATATTGAAGCATGTTGCAGCATCTGTGCTTTCTCTGAGCAGACAAAACGTTCTTTATGTGGCTCACCTTGACATGAGTCAGTTCCTCTTGACTGGCTGACAGGAGCCATCAGAAATCACAAGTGCTGCGGTTGCCAATGGTCCGTCCCTCTCCACCTGTTGTGGCACTGGTTGCTATAAACATTTGAGTGATTTGAATTGCGTATGCACTCCAGTAATGTTTCCTTCAAGATGTTATCTTTCCAAACCTGGCACCATGCCTGTGCCCTCCAGATATGTGCAAGGGCTATAAAAAGTAAATTAATACGCAAGTAAAAGTACTCTTACTTTGTTGTTACATTCTAATTTCTGAAGTTGGCACAGTC